AAAAAAACTTTATTAAATCAATTACAAATACTTTCGAAAAAATTTTAGCAAGCTGGAATAAAATATTAAAAATTTGGCAAAAGTTAGTGAACACTTACATTAAATATTTGGTGACTGCTATTTTTTAGGTTTCAGTGAGTCTTTTTCTGTAATCTTTAAGTTTTTGGTAGTAGTCAGCGCCGATTTTTGACCATTCCTCTTAGCAAAACTCCCACATTTGCGTGATTTTACATGGATTTCTTCCATGCAGGGCCTTCCTTCTCTTGAATCACAGATTTTTAATCGGGTTTAGATCAGGTCTATGGCTAAGCCGATCCAAGACTTAAAATGTCTTTTTTACAAACCCATTCTTTTGTGGGATTGCTTTGATGCTTCAGATTCTTTCTGCTGTTGAAACTTTCAGTTCCGACCTAAAGCCAACATTTGAACTCAACACAAGACACTTTCGTTCAAAATTGCTTGCTATCTTGCAGTGTCCATTGTGCCGTTAATGCGTATTATTTTGCCTGTTCCAAATGTAGCAAAGCACTCCCACATCATAATGCTATCACCGCCATGTTTAATGGTTAGTAGCAAATTCTTCTTTTCAAAAGCCGTATTAAAATCTCGTCAGATATACTACCTATTGTTCCTCCCAAGTTTGGTCTCATCCGGTCATAAAACCTTTTGGCAGAATGTTTCTAGCTTACTAATATGCATTTTGGCATAGTTAAGGCGAGTATGTCTGTGCTATTTCGTAAGGAATGGATTTTTCTAGGCATTCTCTCATGAAAATCGGCGTTGTTAAAATTTCGTCGCATTGTAGATGTATGCACATTGATTCCGACATTGGACAGTGAGCATCGGTGAACGTCAAAGTTCACAGTAGGATTTGCCTGGAATTACCGAACTATATGTTTATTTGCTCTTACCGTTATTCTTCGCGGTTTGGTTTGGTTTGTTTTATTTTACGGCATATCAACCTCAATGGGTCATTTAATGAATGACAACTTTTTTTTTTCGAAAAACTTTTTCAGTTAATTTTTTTTCTCAAAAATGTATAGCTGGTAATATCATTTTTTCTAAAACGTATAGCTAGTAATATTATTTTTTCAAAAAACGTATAGCTGGTAATATTATTTTTTCAAAAACTTATAGCCGGCAACACTATTCTATTGTTCTCATCTTTTTCGCCATATTTATTACAGCGTTTCGGCCCTTCAGTATCTGTCTATATATCAGAGATGAGGTATTATGTACACCATTTACATTATTCGAACTATTTCCCTCATCTTTGTCGCCATATTTGTCACAACGTTTTGGCCGTTGTACGCTCCAGCCTAAGTGAGAGAAATAAATGGTTCAGTTCGACATTCCAACCACCTGAAGGAGGCTGGAGCGTACAACGACCGAAGCGCTTTGATAAATATGGCGAAAAAGATGAGAACAATATTCCGAATAATGTAAATAGCGTAGTATTTTGTCTGTTCGAGCAGCAGCAAAGTACCTACAAATCATAATGTTGTCACCGCCATGTTTAATGGTTGGTACCAAATTCTTCTCTTTAAAAGCTGTATTAGGAGCTTGACAGATTTACCACCCATTGTTCTTTCCAAAAGGTATAGCTTGGTCTCATCCGACCATAAAACCTTTTGGCAGAATGTTTCTAGCTTATTAATATGAGCTTCGGCATAATTGGGATGAGCATGCTTGTAATATTTCATTACATTGTTCAGACTTTGTCGCACTGAAGATGTATGCCCAGTGAGCCTTGGAGAACCACAGAGGTCACATCAGAATTTGCCTGGGCTTGCCGAACTACATGTCTACTAGCTCTTGCTGTTATTTTTCCCAGACGATCACTTCTTCATTGTGATTCCTTCATACTAAGGGTCTTCCATTTATAAATAATTGGTTTTACGGTGCAGAAGTGAACACCAAATCGTTTTGATAGATTTTTAGCCTTCTCCATCATTATCCGTTTCAACTATTCGAATTTTTAAAGCTTCAGGGTCTATTTTTTCATCTTTGCATATATATATATATATATATATATATATATATATATATATATATATATATATATATACACTGAATCATTGCTAATGCAATTAATGGCGAAATTTCTTCGCTAACAGACTTAATATAAGCTTTAACCTACGAACAATCCACTGAATGATGCGATCCTTATGTATAAAATTGTTGTCAGATGGATCTGGTTTATTTTTAGAGCAGTAAGTACTTTCGGAAACTTCATGTTCTCATCATCAGGCTGTAATTTTTTCCTTTAAAATCAAAACTCGAAGACGAAATAAATGTATTTTAGACCGAAAGATGTTTTTTTTTAAAGAATGTGTTATTTAGTAACGGTTATATAATATTGGAACGTGCAATGCTAAATTTCAAATATTTCAAGTGAGAATTTTTTATATGAATTTTGTAATTTGGTAAATCCACGAATTCTTTTTTTTTTTGTAAGCGTTTTCCAGTTAACGTGACATGAACTAAGTACATAATTCAATTAATAGATTGATATGTCATAGTAGTTTTTATTTTCTCCGGAATTTCGTACTGCGGATCAATTGTTTTCATAAACGTATTATATTAGGCAGCATATATTTTATATTATAAATAGATAAACATACATTGAATTAATTAGCAAAATTAATGCAATTAATGGCGAAATCTCTTCGCTAACAGACTTAACCTACTAACAATTCACTGAATTTTATACATAGGGATCGCATCATTCAGTGGATTGTTCGTAGATTAATGCATATATTAAGTCTGTTAAGTCTGGGTATAACGAGAAATTACATTCCTCTTATCGGGATATTTGAAGTTTTGAGGAGCGTGAAACCACCTCTGAATTGCTGTAGATCCCAGGTCCACCTTTTATTCGAGGGGTGGGGTAGCACTGGTTGAGGTTTTGAGGAGCGTGGAACCACCTCTTAATTGCTGTTGTTCCAAGGTCTACCCTAACCCGGAGTGATAGCACCTGTTAGGGTCCCAGCTATGGGCAAATTGTGAGCAAAAAACAAAACCCTATGGAAGTACAAAAATGCATCTTTATAGTGAAAATATCAGCAATACATTTTTATATAAAAATTACAATCAACATGAAAGAACTCTTTCCTGACGTTAGTCCATAAAATATCCTAATCCTTTAATCCATATAACATCCTTATCCATTAATCCATATAATATCCTTATCCATTAATCCATACAATATCCTAATCCATTAATCCATATAACATTCATATCCATTAATCCACATAATATCCTTATCCATTAATCCATATAACATCCTTATCCATGAATCCATATAATATCCTTAACCATTAATCCATATATCCTAATTAATTAATCCATATAACATCCTTATCCATTAATCCATATAATATCCTTATCCATTAATCCATATAATATCCTAATCCATTAATCCTTATAATATCCTTAATCATTAATCCATATAACATCCTTATCCATTAATCCATATAACATCCTTATCCATTAATCCATATAACATCTTTATCCATTAATCCATATAACATCCTTATCTATTAATCCATATAACATCCTTAACCATTAATCCATATAACATCCTTATCCATTAATCCATATAATATCCTATAATTTCTTAAAGAAATCAAACTGTATACGAAAATATAACTTCAACAAAACACACGGATCACGTAATTATGTTCATATAGACATATACAGTGTATGCCCCCAAAAATGACATCATTTTAAAAGCAATTATCTTAAAAACTACTAAATCTAGCTCAATGAAATTGAACAGTTTAGGTGTTGAACATCATAAGTTTATTATGGGACCAATTTCATAAGTGTTTATATGTACACCGCCTGTGACACGGCACACGTCAAGGCGGTCGTTAAACTCTTGTCAAACACACTCATGTTTACGATGGTCTACCAGATCCTTTATCCCTGTATAAGTATGCTTCCTCATTAAATTTTTGGTGCCGAGTCCAAATTTGTTTGCCAGTTGGTGAAGTTTTTCAAAATTTTGCAATGAAGGCACGCTGCACAGTTTTGGGTGACTGTGTGCGAGCAGATTCCAAGACGCAAAATGATTTCTCTTTGAGAGTGAACGTCATGGCTCAACCTGAAAACGGAGCACAAATATGAAAATTACCAACAATACATCAATCAATATGAAAGAACTTGTGGTGGGGACTGTGGCGGTTACGGTTTGTTGTAGGAATGGCGGTTGCCACTTGTTGTTGATAGAAGTCAGACGTAGAAGAAACGCAAGGTTCAGATACTCCTGCCCGCCGAGCCCAACTACATAAAAAGGTTGGACTTTGATTAAGTCCAAGGAAGAAGGAAAAGAAAGCAAACAAAACAAGACCGATAATATATGTATATATTAATAACAAGTTACAATACATGGAAACAGTACAAAGGACGAAGTGTGTGTGAATATTCTGTGTGTGCGTGCGTGTGTGAATATTCTGTGTGTGCGTGCGTGTGTGTATATTGTGCTTAGCGTGTTTCCACGCTATTCCTTGTTATCGACTACATTTCGAGGTTGATAGTTGAAATCCTCTAGGAATAAGAGCGTTTACCTCAAGGTGTCAGTGCACAGGCCTGAAAGGAAAAAAGAGATCGAGGCGAAGGGTCATTGGCTATTTATAGCCAGGAAAGAGGGACCCCTGGTGAAAGGGTTACGAACTGAAGGAGGAGTTAACTCCGACAAACTCTTTCTTGACGTTAGTCCCTAAAATATCTTCATCCATTAATCCATATAATATCCTAATCCATTAATCCATATAATATCCTACCATTTCTTAAAGTAATCAAACTGTATTTGAAAATATAACTTCAACAAAACTACAACATAAAACACACATATCACTGCCCCTAGTAATTATGTTCATACAAACATATACAGAATGCCCCAACCCAAAAAATGACATCATTTTAAAAGCAATTATCTTGAAAACTACTAAGTCTCGCTCAATGAAACTGAACAGTTTAGGTGTTGAACATCCTAAGTTTATTATGGGACCAATTTCATAAGTGTTTTATATGTCCACCGCCTGTGACACGGCACACGTCAAGGCGGTCGTTAAACTCTTGCCAAACATACCCATGTTTACGATGGTCTACCAGATCCTTTTTGCCCTGTATAAGCATGCTTCCTCATTAAATTTTTGGTACCGAGTCCAACTTTGTGTGCCAGTTGGTGAAGTTTTTGTTTTCCATATTTTGCAATGAAGGCACGCTGCTCAGTCTTGGGTGACTGTGAACGGCATGGCTCACCCTGAAAACGGAATGAAAATAAAACATTAAATATAAAATCTTGATCTGTTTCTATACATTCTGTGAAAGTTTAAGGTTATTTCAACAAGAATTGCCAAAATTATTGGCCTGCGAAATGATGTCAAATCGCCAGTGAATAAACTCAGGCAATACCATATGGAATTAAGTAGATCACGTGACCATAGAGAAAACGCATACATAGGACGTAGCGTGACGTCAAACGATCGTTATTTCTATTCTATCCTCTATTACTATTCGGATCTCTATTTCTAGTCTATCATCTATTTCTATTCGAATCTCTATTTCTAGTCTATCCTCTATTACTATTCGGATCTCTATTTCTAGTCTATCCTCTATTACTATTCGAATCTCTATTTCTAGTCTATCCTCTATTACTATTCGGATCTCTATTTCTAGTCTATCCTCTATTACTATTCGAATCTCTATTTCTAGTCTATCTTCTATTACTATTCGGATCTCTATTTCTAGTCTATCCTCTATTACTATTCGAATCTCTATTTCTAGTCTATCCTCTATTACTATTCGGATCTCTATTTCTAGTCTATCCTCTATTATTATTCGGATCTCTATTTCTAGTCTATCCTCTATTACTATTCGGATCTCTATTTCTAGTCTATCCGCTATTACTATTCGGATCTCTATTTCTAGTCTATCCTCTATTACTATTCGAATCTCTATTTCTAGTCTATCCTCTATTACTATTCGGATCTCTATTTCTAGTCTATCCTCTATTACTATTCGGATCTCTATTTCTAGTCTATCCTCTATTACTATTCGGATCTCTATTTCTAGTCTATCCTCTATTACTATTCGGATCTCTATTTCTAGTCTATCCTCTATTACTATTCGGATCTCTATTTCTAGTCTATCCTCTATTACTATTCGGATCTCTATTTCTAGTCTATCCTCTATTACTATTCGAATCTCTATTTCTAGTCTATCCTCTATTACTATTCGGATCTCTATTTTTAGTCTATCCTCCATTATTATTCGGATCTCTATTTCTAGTCTATCCTCTATTACTATTCGGATCTCTATTTCTAGTCTATCCGCTATTACTATTCGGATCTGCAGTTCTATCGTCTATTATTTTACGGTTCGCTATTCACTATACTATTTCTCTATTCGGATCACTATTCCTTGGTTACTATTCGAGCTAGTATTATCGAGCAAGTGCTATTAGTGCCAGTGTTATTCGAAGGCGTCTGACTGTAGTATTGTTCAACGGCGTTACTATAGTTGTATCTGCGATTACAAAGTCTCTACTACAATGAGCATTACGAAAGTGACAACGAGTATTCGTTGACATCCCAAAAGTGTCAGCAGAGTGTTCGTTGACATCACAAAAATCAGGAACACCAGACCAGAAATGGCAGCAATATTCAATGGAGGGACGGATGGTAGATTTTCTCTGCTCTATTCACTATACTATTTCTCTATCCGGATCACTATTCGCTGGTTACTATTCGAGTGAGTATTATCGAGCAAGTACTATTAGTGCGAGTGTTATTCGAAGGCGTTTGGCACCAGCATTGTTCAACCGCGTTACTATAGTTGTATCTGCGATTACAAAGTCTCTACTACAACGAGCATTATGAAAGTGACAACGAGTATTCGTTGACATCGCAAAAGTGGCAACGAGATTTCGTTGGCATCACAAAAAGTGTTGAACATCATAAGTTTATTATGGGACCGATTTCATAAGTGTTTTATATGTCCACCGCCTGTGACACAGCACACGCCAAGGCGGTAGTTAAACTCTTGCCAAACATACCCATGTTTACGATGGTCTACCAGATCCTTTACCCCTGTATAATCATGCTTCCTCATTAAATTTTTGGTGCCGAGTCCAAATTTGTTTGCCAGTTGGTGAAGTTTTTCAAAATTTTGCAATGTAAGCACGCTGCACGGTTTTGGGTGACTGTGTGCGAGTAGATTCCAAGACACAAAATAATTTCTCTTTGGGAGTGAACGTCATGGCTCAACCTGAAAACAGAGCACAAATATGGCGTTAAATATAAAATCTTGATCTGTTTCTATACATACTGTGAAAATTTGAGGTCATTTCACCAAGAATTGCCTGCGAAATGATGTCAAAGTTTTTGGACACCCTGTATATATATTTTTTTTATAAATTCTTATAACACACATGGCACAGTGGATAAAGGCGTTGGTTAGATCCAGTAACAGGACCCAAAGAGTGTAAGTTCAATACCTAGTTAAGGCAGTGGAGAACTTTCAGAGGGAAATTAACAGGAGATAACTGATAGCTGACATCCATCAAACATGGCACGTGGAACTAGAACAGTCTACCCCAGTGAGCGAAATAAAGGGTTCAATTCGAAATTCCAACCACCTGAAGAAGGCCGGAGCGTACAACGGCCGAAACGTTGTGATAAATATGGCGACAAAAATGAGGACAATAGTCCGAATAATGTAAATAATGAACATAATACCTCATCTCAGATATATCTATTTTGCCAGTATCATTGTAGGATTTAACAACCCTGCCTACAACACTCTTGGAACGTTTCACTTTCTCTGAAATCTCTCTAATGGTGTGCTTTTCCTTGTGTAGCTTCACAATAGCTTGTCTCACAGAGTAATCAAGTTTTTGGCGTTTAGCCATGGTGCCGGCTGATGCAACGTTTACAAATGACTAAGTAAGATTTATTCTTTAGAGGAAATAAAAAAAATTGAATATAGCATACTGTTTACATTGTTTTTCTCAATTTTGTCCCTTACTTTTGGACGATCCTATTTTGAAAATAAATAAATAATTGTTATAATTCTTTTTCTATCCTTTGCAAATGATTCAAATTTTAGTATGTTATTATGGATGATAACGACTACCAGTTGTCAAAATTTCAGCTTTTCACAGTTGTTATTTCTAACAAATATTAGGTTTTAAAATTTTGTCCCTTAGTTTTGGACGCTACTGTATATATATATATATATATATATATACAAAATGCAATATATAAAAAAATGAAGACAGTTGAAGGGACCAAAAAATGTAGACTGATTCTCATAACACACAATGATAAATGATACACAAACAAATTTTAAAATATATAAAAATTGCTCAAGGTCGTGCTCTACACCTCAGCGCCAAAAAGGTGTTACTTTTACCCTTGTTTATTCTTTCTTTCTTTTTTCCTTATCTTCTTCCTTATTTTTTCGTTCTTTCTTTATGTCTTAGAAATTTCAACTCTTCTCTTGTCCCTCTTATTCTTTCTTTTTCTTTTCTTATTCTTTCTTTCTTTTTTCTTTCTTTCGATTCTTTCAGTCTTTCACCTCTATTCTTTTTCGTTTTTTTTTGTCTTTCTTTTCTATCTTCCCCACTTTTAACTCTCTTCTCGTTCACTTTCCCCTTTCTTTACTTTTCATCTTCCTTCTTTTACCCCTCTTCTCTCTCTCTCTCTCTCTCTCTCTCTCTCTCTCTCTTTCCGTTATTTTGTTTTTTATTTCTTCCTTCCTTTCTATTTTCTCCATCACCCCCGAACTTTTTATCTTATATTTGCCATCTTTTTCAGTGTTTTTCTTTCTCTTTTTTTACGTCGACATAGTCTTGATAAAGGGCGTTCCAATAACTTGGACCGATTTTAAACTTAATTCACATTTAAATCGGTCCAAGTTATTGGAACGGCCTTTATTTCCCGATTTTTTATTTCCATTTCCATCCTCCATCCAAATTCTGATTCGTCTTAACCCCGCCCTACTCAACAACGCTTTCTTAGTTTCCTTCACTGTCGTTAAATCTTTGCGTCTTAGTGACTTTATCGCCTTAAAATTTGGCGAATTTTTTTTTAAATTTCTTTTTCTTTCTCCTAACTTTTTCCTCTCTTCCTTTCAGCAACGTCGATATCACGTTCGCTTTTAAATTCAATTCCCGTCATTTCTTTTCAGTATTCTTCAACAGTCTTCTGTCTCCTTCTTTCAGCCTTTTGCTTTGCTTGACGCAAATTTCTTTGCGAAGTTCTTTACTTCATCCTGGCCCTGACCCACTCCTTTCAAAGTTTGGGTCGTTATCAACAGTACACCAGCCGATGTTCTTTTCACCCACAGCCAGAACACTGGCACTTACTCGATTACTTAACAGCAACAGAAGCCTAAAAGATCGCATTGGACGCACAGGAATTTCAGAGGTTATCAAAATAAGGTCAGTTTAGTCGTCCGAGCCGAGCGAGAACTCTAGAAGATGAAACTTTTTTTTATCAATTTTAGAGTTGACATACAAATCCAGGATCATGGCTCAGTGGTTACAAAAACAGATTTACAGGCGAGAGGATTAATTCATTCAAATCTAATTAATGTTTCTCGCGGTCTCTCTGTCTGTCTCTTTCTCTCTCTTTCTGTCAGCGTCTGTCGGTGTCTGACAGTATCTATCCGTTTCTGTCTGTGTATGTTTCTGTCTGTCTGCTTCTGCCTCTGTCTGTGTCAATGTCTTTCTGCCTGTCTCTGTCTATCCCTTTGTATGTCTATCTGTCTGTATGTCTCTGTCCCCTTCTGTCTGTCTGTGTTTGTCACTGTCTGTATGTATTTGGCCATTTCTTTCTGTCTGTGTCTGTCAGCATGACTTTGTTCTTTTTTGTCTGCCTTTGTGTCCGTCTGTATGTTTCTGTCCCCTTCTGTCTGTCTGTGTCTGTCACTGTCTGTCTGTATTTGGCCATTTTTCTCTGTCTCTGTCTGTCATCATGACTTTGTCCTTTTTTGTCTGTTTTGTCTGTCTTTGTGTCCGTCTGTATGTTTCTGTGCCTTTCTGTCTGTATCGCTGTGTACGTCTGTGTGTTGCCTATCACTGTCTATGTCAGTGTCTTTCTGTCTGTCACTGTCTGTTTCTGTCCGTATGCCACTGTCCCTATCGGCAGGGTTAGGGTTGGGTTAGGGCTAAGGTTAAGTTTTTTTCTGTTTTCAAGTAAGGCGTTTAGCCATCTTGACACCATCTGTCGTAAGAATCACTGAAAAACCCTTTGAGTTATTCATCGAGTAAGAGAACAGGTTAAAATCGTTTTGTGTCTTCCCAACTCAGCAATGTAGAGAGGAAAATTATCCTTCAGGCCAACAAACATACTCTGACCTCCATCTTCAAAGCCCATTCAAGAACCATCGAGAGAACAGTAGAAAGTAGCTCTCAATTGTCAGGAATTGTGGCAAACATTGCTGTTAGCGTGAGTAGGGCTATTATATGGAAAGTTCCCATTATTTCTCATATGTCATTCTATGATGAGAATGAAATAATTTTTCAGTAATAGAACAGGCAAAAATTTTGGAAAATGAAAAGAGAATTTTTCCAAAACAAAATTAGTAAGACAATGAAATAAAATAAGAATTTTGTTTCTAAATTAGTAAAAAGAAATAAAAAAATAAAATAGAACAAAAATTGTACAGTCTGACAGACCACAAATAGATCAGCTACTGTAATGTTCGTTATATTCTCAGCAAGTTCTCGCGTGATGTCTATTTAAATTGTAATTGTGATGTAATTCGTATTTCTGCAGCCAATGAAATCTCGTACTAATTGCGCCCTGAAGCCATTTAAGTTTCAAACGACAAAGACAAATTGATGACACGATTCGCGATTGTGTAAGGGGAGATCAATACTCGCTGATTGATTCTTTCCCGCTTGTTTGTGCTTAATTCGATTTGATTGATTATTTGAAAAACCTTATGATGCAGTCTTCCTAGACTTGCTCTGCAGAAGAAAAGAAAGAGGACATATGCTATACAGAGAGAAATAAAATGAAAGCATGAGATCGATGAAAGGCTGATACTATACTGCAGAGAAATATGCTGATAAGTCATGAGAAAGAAAGAAAGAAAGAAAGAAAGAAAGAATAATAAAATTTTAAAAAAGAATAACTCATGGTTAGGAAGCGGGATGAAACACAAAAAGAGAAAAAGGAAAATTTAGATAGATAACGAACAGAATGAAATAGATAGATAATGAACAAAATGAGATAGATAGATATAAATAAACATAGATAGATAGATAGATAGATAGATAGATAGATAGATAGATAGATAGATAGATAGATACGATAAGACATAGATAGATAGATAGATAGATAGATAGATAGATAGATAGATGATGAACAAAATGAGATAGATAGATAGATAGATATAAAAAAACATAGATAGATAGATAGATAGATAGATACGAATAAACATAGATAGATAGATAGATAGATAGATAGATAGATATAAAAAAACATAGATAGATAGATAGATAGATAGATACGAATAAACATAGATAGATAGATAGATAGATAGATAGATAATGAACAAAATAAGATAGATAGATAGATAGATAATGAATAGACATAGATAGATAGATAGATAGATAGATAATGAACAAAATGAGATAGATAGATAGATAGATAGATAGATAGATAGATAGATAGATATAAATAAACATAGATAGATAGATACGAATAGACATAGATAGATAGATAGATAGATAGATAGATAGATAGATAGATAGATAGATAGATAGATAATGAACAAAATGAGATAGAGATAGATAGATAATGAATAGATAGATAGATAGATATAAACATAGATAGATAGATAGATAGATAGATAGATAGATAGATAGATAGATAGATAATGAACAAAATGAGATAGATAGATAAAAAATAAACATAGATAGATAGATAATGAATAGACATAGATAG